GATTTTGTATGAGTTGCGTGCCGACAGTTCTGTGTAAGCGGACTCCGCTCAGGGGGATGTGGACTTTCCTTTCCAGGGGCTTTTTAGCCACGATGACACCACAGATCGCGGGATCCCTGGCTGCTGTCTAACGCCAAATGAAGTTTCTGCCCTGCGCGGTGAGGGTGTTACCACCAACCTGAAGGACCCACGCCATCACACGGCCGCGCCCTGATTCAGGGCCACTTTGACCACTTTTTGTTCAGTTGGGAAAGACGCCAAGGCTGTGCTAACGCCAACCGGATCGTCGTCAGCAAAATTTGGCATCTGTCAACGCGTTAACCTGACCAAAGACCAAACGCTACTGGTCATAACTTTCCCTGTGTGTCCGGATGACCCCTGGTACCAAGTGGGCGAACGCATGCGGCGCACGCGGGTTCTCGATGTCTCTCCCTGAAGCACCGGCCGCCCGCGCGGGCGTCGCGACGTAGTTGAGCAGCGTGCAGTGGTCGTATCCTGCGGTGTGAGCACATTCCTGCGGGGCTGGCAGTTCTTGTTGCTAGACGCTATTTTTCCCAGCAGCCCAAGGCATGCTTTACGGCGGAGGCCTTGAAGGAGCAACCGGCGCGCGAGGGGCGCGTGTGTGGGCGCAGGGGGGGCGCGGCGGGTTAGTCCAGGGCAGTAGGCAGATACACGGTATCCAACAGGAGGTTCTCTTGATGATGAATCCTCCTGTTTCTTGCGGCAGTCGAAGAGAATACGGCACGACCTCAAGCGGTGGACCACGTCAACTGCGCGCCACGTTTTGTCACACTCCGTCGCCCATAGGGGTGTGCCGCTTTCTAAGTACACAGGTCGGGGGGGTCGGGGGCGGGGACACATCTGCTGGCGCCTCTGCAAGCGAGTATGTCAGCTCGCACTCGCACCTGCGTCGGCGCGCGCCACCACACGCGGTGGTCTAACAATTCCGCACCTCCTTTGCAACAGACTCAGGTTCTCACAGTCTTCACCATCCCGCCGCGCCTCGTGGGTGCGGCACCGGCGCGCGCGGACACGGGCGCGATGGACGCGCAGAGCACGGACCCCGAGCAGCCGCGCCACGCGCACGGCACACCAACCAAAACACACCAGCCAGAAACAGGCCAGAGCGGGGAGGCACAGCCGGGAGGAGGAGGGGGTGCTGGAGCTTCATCAAGCCGGACCCGTCCCCACGCCAGCATGGAACACCAATTGGAAAGAGCCAAGTTTGCTTGCGATGGCAAGTGTTTCTGGATAGCTCTCGTCAGCACAAGCTTTAGGTCTAACAGATTCACGTTTTTCTTGATAAATGAGATTAGCAAGATTCTTTGGAGTCAAGCAAAAGTCAAAAGTTCCTCTGATGTTTACTTGTTTATACGCCGATGTCTTTAACTCACCTCAATATGGAACGAACTAGGCGAACCTATTCACGGTATGCGGACAAAAAAAGCTGATCAACATTTCACAACAATTGGAACTTCATAGCTTTCACAATGGCACAAAAATCCCTGGAATAAACTCTTGTTGTTAATGCAGTTTTCAACCGTTCTTCGCGCGCTCTACACTGCACAATCGTCCCTGTAAACCACAAGTCAGCATTCTAACTTGATCTTAGAGCCCCACGCACCGCGGGAAAATAAGCCAGTTCTTACCTTCGATGCGTCCCACATAAGAAAACCACTGACAAGCTACCTGAATGACTACCTGAGACACTTCATCTGAACTTGTCAATATCACGCCCGCTTACCGTAATTATAATGAAGTTTGGAAGCAAGTGCTGCCCTGTATTGTCAAGTAAACAACCCCTCCTCAGGCTCCTTGCAAGGGCTTAGTTAAGAAAGAGTGGAAAACTTGAAAGCAGCTTTAGTTTGCGTCACCATGGTGCAACACTAGTCCTAAGTTTTCCATTCAAGCCGTCAAGATATTCACTGATAGTGGCTGCCGGCTATCGGAATGGCAAGCGAAGCCTAATAACGCCAGAACTTCCAGAGCGGAGGTTAATCTCTCAACCGCCGCGGCACACGGCGCCGGCCGGGGACCGCGCGGAGGAACGGAGGACTCGACGAAGAGGAGAGACTGCTAGATCCATTCTGGAGTTCTTATTGTAGACGCTGTTCACCTGGATTTAACCGGATACCGGCAGCAAGATATAGTGAAATTTTGGCCTTGAATGACACAAAATAGATAGGTTTACACCAAACTGTGAAAACTACAAGCGCTTCCAGGGTTTCCACTCTTTAACTACACTCGCTATTGGCAGGACCTCTCCAGGAGTTTTGTATTGACAATAACAGGGGCCCCATTTGCTCCCAACAGATGTCATCACTCAATTTACCGGTAAGCCTGGATATCTGACAAGTTCACCGATGAGCTGTCTCAGGTTATTATTACAGGTAGCGGCTGTCAGTGGTTTGTATGTCGGGCCCAGTAAATAACGGACTTTGGCTGATTTTCCCCGCTGCGGTCTCCCTTAAATCAAGTAGAACTTGATCCATTCCTTTTGCACAGGACCATTTTGTGGTGCGGAAGTGACAAAAACTGCCAAAACACACAAGAATTATTTTCCAGTTTGGCGCCTTCTTAAATATACTTCAGGTGTGAAAAATGTTGATTCCAACCTTTTTGTCCGCCAAACCCTGAAATAGATTCAGCTTTTCTGTCATATAGGGCATTAAAGACCACCCGTATAAACAAGTTACAAATCCAGAGGAATTTGGAACTTTTCCCTTGAACTCAAACACCATTTCTAATCGACTTATCCAAAAAATTCTTTTGAAACCTAAAAACTTCGCAACTATTCCAGAAGCCACGTTTCCATGCAGCAACTTGCCTCTTAATTTCCAATGTTTCCATGCCTGGGCTGGGCACGGCGGGGTGATGGACACACTCCTTGGCTCCTGCCCTCCCCTTCTCACCTCCTCCTCACTCCTCCACGTCGAGCCCGCGCCCAGGCGGGTCACGCGCGGCCATCCCCACCCAGAAACCCGATTCCTAACCAACACTGGGCGAGCAACAGCCCAGCTTCAGGGGCTATTCTCTATAAAACTTTGGGACGGGCCCAACTCATCAAGGGCTGACCATACCCGTCCTGTCAGAGGGAGCCAGCGAGGGGATTGTGTGCCCCCCCCACCCCCCCGGACCTCCTCGCTCTTAAAAGGCACACACTTCTCTGCTGACAGACTTGTGCCAGAAAACTGGGCCGCAGTTACCGGTTCCACCCGCCTCGGGAGTCGGTCACTACTGCCAGAAAACACGGAGGATTCATCATCAAAGGAGAATCCTCCTGTTGGATTACCCGGGTGGTAATCGGTGTATCTGCTACTGCTGACTAACCCCCCCCCACACACGCTCCCTCCGTCTCCTCAAGCCTCCGCCGGGTAACATCCTTGCTGCTGAAAAATAGTCTACAACAAGAACTGCCAGCCGCAGGAATGTGCAACCTCAGATACACCACTGCAGTGTCAATAAGTCAGCGACGCAGTTCAGAGAACATTCAAACCCTCCGCAGGCTCGCCACTGGTACCAGGGTCATCCACACACAGGAAAGTGATGACAGTAGCGTTTGTCTTTGTCAGTTAACGGTGACATGCAAATTTTGTGACACATCCGGGTTGGGTTAGCACAGACTTAGCTTCCTCCCAACTGAACAAAAGTGCGTCAAAGCTGCCCTAAATCAGGGCGAGGGCTGTGATGGCGGCCTTCAGGTTGTGATCAACACCTCACCGCAGGAGAAACCTTCATTTGCTTAACAGGCAGCAGGGATCCCCATTGGTTCATCTGTAAAAACATGAAAGAAAGTGGCACACCTAACAGTCCTTACACAGAACTTCACGAATATAAAATCCTAACACGCTCAAAGAAAGATGCACAATGCTTCAGGTCAGGTTGTGTGGATGGCTGGTGTTTTTGCTCTCATGTAAACCTCAAATATTGATTTTCTGCCCCGTGTTTCGCACCTCGAAAGGCACGAGTGCAGACAAAAGCGTGCAGGGGATCAAACTTCAAACAGGCTGACTTAAGCCCCGAAAACACACCGGGGGGCATTACTGCTACCACAAAACATTCATTTATCCTGCACTAGACTCATCATAATAAAGAGATTAGACACCTTTAAACAGTGTGAACCTGTCACAACACGACTTCGCCACCTGTAAGAAACAAATGGGAGCAACTGCTGCCAGCTCCAGTGTTTCTTTATGGAGGGGGTAGCACAACAATCCCTGCAGGTTCGCACACGAGAGGCCTGTTCCTCTGTACAGTAAACCATTTTAAAATCAGCTGCGGGCCGCAAAAAGGAGAGCTGAGACACAGAGCATGTAACCAGAAAGTGGAATATATGAGCCAACAGCGGCCCTTTATTGAATGAGACACTGCACAGTCCACACAGAGCAGAAACGCCCCTACAGCCACTAACACCTGCACTTAAATGTTATTTTTGCACAATTAACAACGGATTCATTTAATTCTTTGTTATGTGTGGAGAAAATTGGATGCATACTTATTTAAAGGGCAATTTTAATGCGTGTAAGTGCGCAAAAATGTGAATTAAATGCTTTCTTCTGAATGTAAAACACACCCTACTTGCAACTATGTCACCAGGCAACAATTACTGACTTTACCAACTATATATATGAAGCATGTTTCAGGTCTATACAAGTTATTTTCCATACTGTACCGCCATAAAAAGGAGCCATTTAAGCTACTTATAGTATACAGCAATGCAACCCTAAATCTGCCTGTCTTAAAATAAAGATACATTTAAAAGGACAGTGATGAAATTTAGAGTTTAACTGGGCACAGATGGGCTATTTCTGTCAGTGGAGACTCTGGGGTGCGTTTAAGGTCTTCTTTTTCCACCAGGAGCTAAAATTCTGGATGATCCTGTCAAATCCTCTCTTCATTTGGGAGTGGGGGGGTAACACTTCTGTCAGTATGTGGGTTTTGGGGTCACAGAAGGAAACAAGGACCACTCCTTTCAGACACCTTCAATTCCCTCCACTCACCTCTCTCGCTATGAGATTCAGGGCATCATCCTCCGCCGTCGACCTCTCCTTCTTGGTAGACCTTTTCCGTCCTGTGCCCTGAGTCCCCATGTCTTCCCTTTCAGACCCTGAAGTATCCACTCGCTGCAGATAAAAGTCGCAAAACGGCGCACCGAATAATCCCCCCCCAAAAAAAACACAGCGGCCACTATAAGCTGCTGGCTCTCATGTGTCGCTAAAAAAAAGAAGTTAAAGTCGAGGAGGAGAAGCGTGGGTCATTGTCTTATATCCGTTTTTTCTTTTTTTTTGTTACACTTCTTCCTGTCTCTCTCTCTCTCTCTCTCTCTCCTTCTCTCTCTTTCTCTCTAACTCGCGAGGAAGTCTGGCTCACACTGCGTCTGTCCCCCACGTGCGCTTCTCTGCTGCGTTTACGAGCAGAACCGACGGGAAAATGAGATTAAACACCGACATTCAACGGATAAATACGTTTACTGTAGCCAACACTATCTTTATCATAAAATGTGGGAGGTTTCCTTTGTTGTTTTTTATGTTAATCCAGCAGCATTTGTTAGTTTGTCGCCACCAGCGGACGCGAACCTGTCACACCGACGAACTTCAAAGACTAATCAAGACGCCTTCACGTGGTGTGGGAAATTTGGGCGTAGCTAGAAACAATTAACCACACTGGTAAAATATAGGATAGAATCAAAGATAGACTTTATTGATCAAATTCACTCAGCAGCTCCAGATAAGACAATAGACATTAAATTAAAAAATACAAGATATAATAAAAAATGATGTACATTATATACACTTTTTATATATAGATGTGATTGATATCAGAATCAGAATTACTTTATTGAACCCCGGGGGCAAAGTATGTATGTAAAGGTATATACATGTAAGTAAAAAATAAAATAAAATGGAAATCTTTAGACACGAGGCTATAAATATGCAGTACAGGTGTAATAATAATAATAATAATAATAAGTGTTTATTTATATATACGTATGTAAAACTGTCTACTTTCTGATACTTTTGGATTACCTCAACATCAAATATGCAAATAAAAAGAAGAGAATTATCAATGAGTAATATTGTACATGTATAACTAATATTACATATTTAGTTCACCCAAAAATGGCTCACCCATTAGCAACTGCACATTGTCATCTAACTTCTGCAGCATGAAACTGCATAATTATGCATTTTAAATGAAGTATTCCTTATTCTTTATCATATCCACTCATGAAAATTGGACAGCTATGAATGATGTGCATCAGAGGGTATTTAGAAGTAGGTATACCCAATGCCAACTAAAACATAGGTTGGTATACTTTGAACACCTGCGTATACTCTGCAGTGTACCACTGGTTACAAGTAAAAGTCCAGCATTTTAAATGTTACTTAATGAGAGTCTGTAAGGCCAAAGTGACCTGGGTTCCTTCAGTGGGCATTTGTGGTCTCTCACTATAGTCAGATAGATAAAGGTTTCACTCAGTTAGACATCAATCAAAACCACAACAGACCAAAATCTGACTGTTAGAACAGCACAAATCACATGGAGTCTGATTTCTTCAGTTAGAGTGCAATGTGACAGACCCTAAGTGTGAATGTAGAAGTTCTCAGTGCAGAAAAATGTTATGTAAATGTTATTATATCACTAGATTATTATTACCAATGTATTCATGTAAAAGTAAGGTTTTACCGTTGTAGTTGGTTAAGGTGGACCTAATTTTGAACTATTTTGTAGGCCTATATAACCTCAACCAATGATAATTTCATAATTTGATTAATCCTTTTTTCTTCATCGATTGATCTTTAGGTTTGTAAAAATTCTGAAAATGATAAGAAATCACCCAGATAATCATAATTATCCAAAGCCCAAAGTGACACTTTCACAGTGCTTGTTTTGTCACACATTTGAGAAGCTGGAAATGTTTTTGGTGAAAAATAACAAATTATTATGAAAATAGTTGCCAATTAATTTTCTGTCAGTCGACTCATCATTTCAGCTGTAGTCCATGCCGTGGGGATATTTCAATTTTTTTTAAAAAACATCAGAGAATCAAAGTATGTATGTTAATCTCTTAATTAAAATCACACTGCAAAGATCCCGGAGTTTATGCAGAGCACTTGAATGCAGCATCAACCTCTGGACTCCATACATGTTCAGGGGTTTGGTTCCAGCCAGAAACCACAGCTCTAGCATGGGCTATCACACTTTCTCACACCCCCTCTGCTATTTTTAATGATGACCAGCCAGCTCTAAAAACAGACCTGACTTCCTTAAAGAGATAGACCAGACCTCTGTTAGACTGGACACAATGTAGAGCCTGTACCCTTTATGTAATGCTCTGAAATAATTGGTAGCGACTTCATACTTTTTATTCTTTGTGGCATCATTGTCATATCATTTGGAATAATGTAGAAAAACTTTTCCTGTTCTGTTTTAACATTGTCTGTCAAAGTCTAATTTTATATTATTATTATTGTCGTCAAAGGATTTGTAATACAGATGCACATACAGTTTAAATATAGTGTCTTACTTATTCATAATTTATAGATAAAGTACTTATAATTAGGTCTGAATTACACACAGTGCTTAAAACAATCATGTCTATCATTGCATTGCCTCATGGGCAAACATTTGTCCAGGATTACAACTTTGTAAGGAGTTAAAGGCCAATGGTGCAAAGTTGTTACACTTTCATTGTTATATTTTTCTTACTGGAGAAACTGAGACATAGGACGCATCGTAAGAGTGCCTTGAAAGTATCTAATAATTCATTTATAAAACACTTTCAATACAGCGTTTAGGGACGTCCTCCTATATTTTCTAATATATGTATCTGCTTTATTTTAATATGGTTTATTATAATTGAGCAAGGATATGGTCATTGATTTCTAAAGGACATCATCCCACCCACCATCTCAATCATCGATAATTACTTGAAATTTGATGCCGTCTGTAAGAAGGGACAACAATGTCCTTTGGAAATTAAATGTTTCTAATGTGGACAGGAAAATATCTTCTATTGAATCTGTTCTTCCTTTTTCTGTGACTGCTTGGTACAGCAACCTAAACCACCGGAATCACACTGTTAAGGTTGCTGGGAAGGTGATCGGTGTCCCACAGAATCCTCTTGATGGCTATCTTTCACCAGCAGGTTCTCCGCAAGACCAGGTCTATACTGGACTGTATGAACCACCACCTGCACCTTGAGTTTGAACCTCTTCCCTCAGCCTGCAGATTTAGATTAAAGGAGTATAAACTTCTTTGTTCCTTGTACAATAACCCTGCTCAAATGTGATTTTAACTTTTATTTGCACATTATTAGCATTGTTGTTGTTGTATTATTGTTTACTGTATATTGTACATACATAAGAATCACTGTTGTGTTTTGGTACTTTTGTTTTTGTCTGTACTTGTGTGGTTTTTATTGTTTGTGCCCCCGACTGCTAGTCAAGATTCACCATACGGCATAATAAAGTGACTGAATGGCTAGTGTACAGACACAGTTATATATATTCATTGAAATAATATTGTCGATGTAGTTTTCTGCAAATAACTATTGACATTAAAATGTGTAATTGGTTCACAAAATAACATCAAAGGATAGATTTAGGACATACACATGCTCATAGACTGTGAGTCCGACTCTTTTAAGCACACTGCAGTAACATATGCAATGCCGCCCTCCTGTGTTGGTACAGTGTCATTGAAGAAGAGACACACAGGAAGGAAACAGGCCTGCTGCAGCCGATGCAGAATCTCTGTGCAGCCTTTGATATCCAAAGAATGGGGACAATTTCTGTGATATGATATACACTAGTTATTTTCTTATTTTACTTATTGAAACAGGAAATTAATGTTAAAAGCCTGCTGTGTGAAGTATCAGTGGTTTGAAAATAACTTGATTTTCTTTGGTTTGAATTGTATGAATGGATACGTACATTAGAAAGAAACTGAATACAGCTTGTGTTTGTGTAGCTGTTGAATCAAAATAGCTGAAGGGGAAACAGCATCAAACTTTGGAAAAGACCAAATAATTCCCCACAACCCCTTTGGTTTCTGTTACTTTAAAAACTTCCTTCCTGTTTTATGTCTATCACAATAAAACAGTGTGTCTAATGAGCACAAAGGGTGCATGTGCTGCTAACTTGTAATTGGCTGGAAGGTGTTATGGCTCATTTGTGGTTGTATACAAGGAAGTGAGACTTTGTTGTTGGCCTTTTACAAGTTAAGACTGGACTTTGGTTTTACTTTTATTTTCTGTAAAAAAAAGGTGAAGCTGGCACAGTTGCAGACTCTTACACAACAAAGAAGACATACTAACCCTTCTGTACAGTTTGGAGTTGCTTCTTAACAGGAAAAGGACTACTGGATCAGGACTTGAGGACTTTTCTTGGACTTTTTTCCATCTTGTCCATCTGTATTCTTCTCCCTGTTTTGGAAATAAGTGAACTTTTGATGGGGGAAAAATCTGATCTCCCAAGGGTGCAGAGAGGATCCCAGCTCCACAGTGACACTTTGAGTAGACCAGTTCGGACCCTCAGGGTTAAGATGGTTCTTCTGGGAAGCTCTGGTGTAGGGAAGTCCAGTCTGGCAATGCGATTTGGGAAAGATGAGTTCAGGAATACATCACCTACTGTAGGCTGTGAGTTCATGACACTTTACATGACGCTTTGGACAGCAGTGATTTTATAAATTAGTCCTTATATGATACATGATTTTTCTTGCTGAGATATTAAAATATGTGTACTCTCATGTCTGTGCGGTAAAGATGAAGCTTAAGTCTGAAGATGCTTAGCTTAGCATAAAAACTGGAAGTGGAGGCGACAGCTAGCGTGGCTCTGTCTGAGGGAAAAAAAGTGCCTAAAAGCTCCTCTAAATTTGACTTATTAACTGAATCTACATATTTAATCTATACAAAGATTAAAGTGTAAAAATGACAAGTTGTGGTTTTTATAGGGAAGTTTTGTGCTGGACTATTTCCCGGAAGGGAGTAGTGACAAGTGAAACCACAACTTGTCTCTTTTTACACTTTTTACACAGATTAAACAAACTGCAATATACTGCAGAACCTGTTAACTAGTAAGCTTTATTAGTGCTGTAATTAAGTTACCTTAGTTTAAGAGTGAGATACTTGGATTAGGTTTAAAGTTACCCTCCCAACCCTGCTTATGATCTACTGATTCTTAATCTTTCACTACCAAAATCATAAATATGACCCAGCAAGAAAACATCTCTACAGACATGAACAAATGATTCTCCTCTGGCGTCACTGTGCTGTTTGCTCCTTTAGGTGCCTACCTGACCCGGGTGGTGCATCTGAGTAACGTCACTCTCCGCTTTGAGATTTGGGACACGGCAGGGCAGGAAAAATACCACAGTGTCACTCCACTTTACTACAGAGGAGCCCACGCTGCACTCCTGGTCTATGATATCAGCCAAAGGGTAAAAAGAACAGACACGTGACCATGGACATTTCTTCTTTATCTTGCCTTATCTCGGCTGGTGTATACTCCACTGTGTATTCTTGTGTATTTTCACTCCAGGAAACATTTATCAGAGCTCAAGTGTGGCTCAAAGAGCTTGAGAACCAGTACACCCCAGGATCTAC